AAACTGAAAAGTCCCAGTCGCTTTAATCTCTCCTCATATGGGACCCGTTCCAAACCCCTAATCATTTTAGTTGCCCTTTTCTGAACCCCTTCTAAGGCCAAAATATCTTTTTTGAGGTGAGGAGACCACATCTGTACACAGTATTCAAGATGTGGGCGTACCATAGTTTTATACAGGGGCAGTAAGATATTCTGTGTCTTATTTTCTATCCCTTTCTTAATAATTCCTCGCATCCTATTTGCCTTTTTGACCGCCGCTGCACACTGTGTGGAAGTTTTCAGAGAACTGTCCATGATAACTCCAAGATCTCTTTCCTGATTTGTCATAGCCAAATTAGCCCCCATCATACTGTACGTATAGTTGGGGTTATTTTTCCCGATGTGCATTACTTTACACTTAACCACATTAAATTTCATTTGCCATTTTGTTGCCCAATCACTCAGTTTGGTGAGATCTTTTTGGAGTCCCTCACAGTCTGCTTCTGTCTTGACTATCCTAAACAGTTTGGTATCATCTGCAAACTTTACCACCTCACTGCTTACCCCTTTCTCCAGATCATATATCCAAGACATATTGTAGGCCAGTGGTTTTCAAATGATGGGTCGGGACCCAGGACTGGATAGTGGAATGTCAGGCACTGGGTTTCGGTGCTGCAGGGAGACCAGGTGTGTCCAGTGGAGGTGCTAAGGCAGCTCCAGAAGTGACTAGTAGCAGCCCTGGCTACTAGTTGGGGTGTGTATGTGTGTGTGTGTGGGGGAGTGCACAGAGCTCTGTGGACAGCCACTGCCCCGAGCACTAGCTCTGCACTCCCATTGGCTGGGAACCTGCTGCTGGCTGTTTCTGGGGTGCAGCCTGGTCTGTGCTGCCAGGAAAGGCAAGGAGCTGCCTTAGCACCCCACTGCACCACTGACTGGGAGCCCTTCTTGACCCAGCCCTGAGCCTCCCATGGAAAGCCAGAGCCCCCTCCTACACTCCAAAGCTCTCACCCTCGGCCCCACCTGGGAGCCCACACTCCAGTCAAATTGTGTTGAGTCGTGGGCTTCTACCATTTTCTTCAAGGGGGTCACGAGAAAAAAAAGTTTGAAAACTGCTGTTGCAGGCAGTGCCCTATTAGTCAAGAACGGGGGAGCTGCGTTAGGAGCAAAGAATGGAAATAGGTTCAGGAAGGTCTAGAATGGAATTCTTACTTTTGCTTGAATTCAAGGAAGGTCAAGTCGTAATATTCTCCACATAGCTCAACGGCCTTTGCGAGGAATTTGAGTATCTCCCCCCTCAGCAGTAGCCTCTGCAGAGCAGAAAGAAAGGAACATTTCCATCACCAAAGACATCCCCTTACCTGTCACACTGCGTGGTACCGATCCGTTAGCTGTGGCTGGCACATACGAGCGTTGTGTGTGTTTGGGAAAGATTTTAGGGGATGGAGAAATGTCAGAGCAAGGCAGAGGGCGTCCAAATGTGCAAGAGAAAAGTATTACGCTTGTTACCTTGGTAGCGAGACAAGTGGTGGCATCTGCATCACTACAGCATTCATTGATGAGATTATGGGTAGCATCGTACACCTTGCTGAGGAACACCACTGGGATGTTGGTGTGCCTGCGTGTTTCCTCAAACATGAATCTGCAACAAGAAAACCATCATATGGTACCCTCCAGTTTATGTGTTCTTCATAGAATTGAACTGGATCTTTTGTTCCAGCCTTGCTGACAAACGTTGCCTGATGCTATTTTACAACTACAACAGTACCAATCTCCCCAGTGTGTATTACAGGCAGGGCTGGCAGTGCCACGTAGGGTACGTCTAAACTACATGGCTCCGTTGACGGAGCCATGTAGATTTGTTTGTTCGGCAAAGGGAAATGAAGCCGCGATTTAAATAATCGCAGCTTCATTTAAATTTAAATGGCTGCCGCGCTGAGCCAACAAACAGCTGATCAGCTGTTTGTTGGCTCAGCGCGGCAGCCATTTAAATTTAAATGAAGCTGCGATTATTTAAATCGCGGCTTCATTTCCCTTTGCCGATCAGCCTAATCTACATGGCTCCATCGATGGAGCCATGTAGATTAGGCTGATCGGCAAAGGGAAATGAAGCCGCGATTTAAATAATCGCAGCTTCATTTAAATTTAAATGGCTGCCGCGCTGAGCCAACAAACAGCTGATCAGCTGTTTGTTGGCTCAGCGCGGCAGCCATTTAAATTTAAATGAAGCTGCGATTATTTAAATCGCGGCTTCATTTCCCTTTGCCGATCAGCCTAATCTACATGGCTCCATCGATGGAGCCATGTAGTTTAGACACACCCCTAGTGTTAACTTCTCCTGACACTTCCCAGAAGCGTTATTTTTCTTCTCATTGTAAGCTCTTTGAGGGAAGGGACCATGGTCAAAAAGTACTTAGGTGCCTAACTCTCACTGGGTTAGGTGCCTAAATACCTTTCACAATCTGGGGCCATGTCTTTTGGGACAGGACAGCAATGAGCACAATGGGACCAGATCCTGTTGGGAGCTGCTGGACGATACTCCTGAAGAGAGGAAGGCACATGACTGGGACAGATTCTTGTCTCTGACACTGACTCCCCAGGTGTCC